ATTCACCACCAGGCTTTGTGCTGTGCGGCTGTCGTGGTCCCAAGCGATCCTGAATGGGTTCAGGCCCGTTATCACCATGGCCCGTTGCCACCTGGCCTTTTGACAACCGGTCCGTTGCCACCCGACTTTTTGTCACCCAACCATTTGCCACCCTGCCTTTTGCCACCTGGCCTTCTGCCACCCGGCCATTTGCCACCCTAGGCCCGTTGCTACCCGGCCTTTTGCCACCCGGATTTCTGCCACCTGTGTGGCAACGGGCCTTGACCCATTTTAATCGTATTTCTATGAATCCATGCCTACATTATATACAGTAATTAAGAAGCTGGCATTACATCCCTTATTTTATCGATATGACTGTTTTCATTATTCTTGCATCAGTAATATCACTTTGACTTCATGAGTTTAACCCAACGGTGCAATATTTATTAGTATTTTGCTTGTAGGCCTATTTAATTTGAAATACGTTACTAGAGACAATTACTGTACTATCTTCTTTGCCAAAGGCTATCATATAGTAATTGTGGTCGTAAAAATCCATACATCTAAAAATGTTACGAAGAGTGAATCCCAACGGGGTAGATCCGAAATGTCTACCTCCGGGGTCTCGGTCGCTTCAATATCATCACAATTAATCAACATCCAAATAAGAACAAATTGAACCCCCTGACATTAAGAATTGAATTTAATTGGTAAAGTCAAGTTAAGCAAAGCTTAATGCAAATTTCGTATTTCATATTCATGTTTAAACGTATATTTTGTCTACACTAATGCGATGAGGGTGGGTTTTTTTTCCGGGACTAATTTGGTTGTCTGGCTTTAATTTTTAATTTTTTCCAGCTATATAGGTCTAATCAAGCACTTTTGTTTGTTTGTACGTATGACTTTTTTAAAAAATTTTTTTAATTAATATTTTTTTAATTTAATTCGCATCCAATCCAACAGCATGTAAATTCGCCAATTAAAGGATGTCGTGAGAAAATTTCTGCTGTCTCAGGAATTGAACCCAGACCTTGAGATTAGGGTGCAAGCATCTTAAGCTATTCAATTTCACTCTTGTTATTTTTCTGCTTTCTTGAAACGCTTAGAGTGTTTTGACAGTGATCTGTTTTCAATTACAGTTATTCCTCTTGCTCTTCAGGTAAGAACATACAATAATAATAATAATAATAATAATAATAATAATAATAATAATAATAATAATAATAATAATACTTTGAATAAGCCTCCTATATTTACATGTTCATATAAAATTGCGTAGGTTTTATATAATATTATACACAAGTATGTCTATGTATATAATATATTCACTCTGAGTTTCATTCATTCATACATTCATTTATTGGTCAATATCAACATATACAAGGAAAAACAAATAAAACCACTGATAAAACCATTTAAAACAGATTTTTTTTTTAATGTGTAAAATTTCTTTAAGATATATTGAATTATATCATTCAATGTGAAATATATGAAATAATTCTCTATGAAGCTAAGTTGTATTGGGTTGTTAGTGTTAACATGGCGGAAAGAAAGCGGCTGCTTTATTTCCTCAATTGGCTAATGAAGTTCGTACGACTTCGTATGTCACTGTGTGTTTCTAAAATGCCATATAGCACACCCCTATTTTCGAGTGGAAGATCCAAGAGCGAAAGGCGAAGTTTTGAGCGATATTTGCGACGATGACATAAAAGTGATCACCCCTGTAAGTTCTTTCTATTTTTGTACTCCATAAATGAACTGTTGTAATGACGCAGTTATAATTAATCAATGAGCATAAAGCTACTATGAAACGAAATGCTTTTGAATCGAAAAGGCCACTTTCCTCCATGCAATGTTCTTGTTTATGTGCATCAATGTCCAGTTGACAACCAATCGTGATGTTTAGTCAACCTAACGAGTCTAAGATCAATTTTCGCAATCAAATTACAAACTGCACAAGATTAATTGACGATAAACAACCCGATGGGTTTCTAAAAACTTTCGACATTGAAATTAATTCTTAACTACGAATGGATCGGTTAGCTGTCGAAATAGTCTGGCTATTTTGTAAAACATTGTCTTGTCAGTATGGAGCGGCACCATCAGAATTATTATTAAACATATACGTGGCTAAGTTGTCGGTGCGCAAACCAGACCAGTGGTGGTGCCAAGATTTGTTTTCACGGGGCTAAGCTGCTACCCGAGGGTTGGAAAATTTCCGACTGAGGCAAGCACGGTGGTGGGCCAATAGGAAAGATTAAGCTGGTGCCTAAAAACAATTTCATGTCCAGTTTAAGCTGTTCCAAGACGTTTACAGCACGATGATGCCCAAAATTCATGTTTCACTTTT